GCCACAGCTCGAGTCGAAGTCGAAGCAGTTCATGAAAATTTCATTTCATGAAAATACTCGGAGCTGTATTATTATTTTTTGATAGCACTTACTGCCAGTGCACACGCTTCACAGTGATGGCATTTCAAAAGTTTCACTGTGCTTATGTGCCATAACAAGTCTATTAAACGGCTCCCAGAGGGAGGGTGTCCAAAATGGGCGTGGCAAATGATGCGTTCAGCGAACTAGAGCTGGCGCATTAATCATACGCACCGTGCGCCATAGAAATATAAATCCTGAGCGCACGCTAAAGCGACCAAATAAAACCATAATCGTTTATTGAACTGAAATCGAAGCCATTACAAAGCTGCACATATATATATATATATACACATTATATATATCTACAGAGCGAGGGAGCATTTTATTTTGAAAGCTAATTAAGTGCGGCCATTAGATGCGCGCAACGTTGCCCTAACAACAGCCGAGCTTGGCTACGATTTTGAAGCCCAGTTCGATTAATGAGGCGCATCAAGCAACAACACACAGGAATGAGGAAGTGAGTGGGTGAGAGGGAGAGACGGGCAAACTGTCTGCTCGCCGAACACATTGAATTAAAGTTCAATTGGGCAAATCAAGCCAAGGGTCGTTAATAAGGCTACTAATAGCCCGTAGAGCTGGCCAATAAGCGAGCTGCCTCAGAGCACCGATTCGGGCGCTGTAGTCTTTTTGGGTGTTCCTTTGGTGCGCTTACGGTTCTTCAAGTCTCTTGTGGACCTCAGGGGCGGCAACTCAGTGGTATCGTCCTCCGAGTAATCGGAGGACTCGGACTCGTACGGATCCTCGACAATGACCACAGACATCTTACGTAACAGCACAAAGACCAGGCCGATGATGGTGGCTATGCAGAGGGCGATGTTGTCGCGTGCGATTTGCCTTTCGATGGTTTTCATGTCCTCATAGAAGGGCACCTCGCAGCCCTTGCAGAGGGGCAGGCCGCAGCAGACGTCCTTCGACCAGGGGCGATCGGTCAATATGTAGTCCATGACGCCGTGCATGCCACAGCAGTCGTAGAGCAGCTCAATTTGCTTGTACTTCCCCATGTTCCACGAGTAGAGCAGCATCGTGTCCGTGAAGTATCGAAACCGGTCCGTGTAGAGGAACCGCGACACGGCGATCGCCAGCGACATGTACGCGTTGTAGGCGCCGAGCAGCATGTAGACGAAGAACTTGAAGAGCGTCATCGAGCGCGCGAGGCGTATGCCCAGGATGCTGTTCACGATGACGATGCACAAAGTGATGCCGCGCGCGAGCGTCATCCGGGGCGACAGACCCACCAGGGATATGCTCGTGTTGAGGCCCTCGACGCTGTGCCGAAAGGCATGATTGTACAGATCGAATAGGAAGAATATCGCCACGCCCAGCAGCAGGATGTGTATCTCAATCACAAGGCCTGGCGACACGCTTAGACAGCTACAGACCTTTGTCATGCCGACAGCCGAGTCCTGCTCCTGCTGCTCCTCCTGCTGCTGCTGCTCCTCCTGCTGCTGCTGCTCCTCCTGCTGCTGCTGCTGTGAAATGCGATGCAATGTTTATTTACTTTGAAGTTGGAAAAACATTTGAGCGCAGCTGTCGTTTTGCTTTTTGCTCTTCGCTTTTCATTTGAAGTTGACCTCAAAGCCAACTGTTGATTTGCCTCACTCAATCTCCTGCTCCCTTTCTCTCTCTATGTCTCTCTCTCCCTCGCCTGGGCTAATATCAACATTTCGCAGTGTCCTTCAGACTTGTTGCTGAGGTTTCAAGTGCAAATGAGTTTACTTTTCGGCAATAAAATGCGCCACCTGTTGCCAGCTCCACTTCCCTTCCCATTGCCAAGGCCAAAAAATAAAATGGGAAAAAAATGGAAAGCAGCCACAGCTAGAATAACAGCCAGCTGAAATTAAATATTTGCGCGACAGCCAACTTGATGTTGATTGCTCATGAGGCGCAACCACAGCCTGTGCCACTGCCCCACTCACACTCCCTCCCCACTCTCCCTCTCTTTCACACTTCAAAGCCAAAAAACAAGTCGCGCTGTTGTTTGTCAACATGAGACCCTGTACTCGCTGGCTCAGGTGTGAGCTATGCGCAAATTCTTGACATTGGAGAGAGCATTTCTTTGGTCTATTTATATTGGCTTAAAAGAGTTCGCATTTCATCAACTGTTTGGGCAACACTCGCACACGCTTATGTGACTCGCAATTCAATCAAATCTTTGTGAAAATCTTTGTCAAGCTTCACGGCAATTTTCAATTAGGCAACTCCTTAAGTAACCCTTGCCGAAGCTTATTATTGGCTATCATTGTAGTAATTTTTGGTTGAGTGTCCTGGCTAGACTTTTATCAGCTCTTCTATAATCAAATCTTAAAGTATATTTTTGAGTGAAGCAACTATTTCTACTCTCTCTCTCTCTCTATCTCTGTCCCTCTCGTCTCTCTCTCTCTATCTCTGTCCTTCTCTGTCTCTCTCTCTCTCTCTCTCTCTCCTGGGATTAGTTCAGCTCTCACTTAAGTAACTTCAGCTCTCATTCAAGCAACTCTTTGAGCAACTCTTATCAAAGCTCATGTTGGGTCTCACCCAAACAACCCTTTAAGGAACTCAAGCTAAGCCATACTTCCCCTCTCAATCCATCTACTTCTTGAGCAGCTCTCCTCTAAGCTTATGTTAGATTTAGTAAGCTTTTGCAGCTCTTTGGGCGAGTCTTGCCTAGGTCTAATTAAATAATAATCGAGATTCGATTAGAGCTATAGTAATCTAATCGAATCTCGATTTTATTTAATGATTCAACTGTCATACAAGTAAAAATTTAAGCAACCCTTTAATTCAACTCTCAATCAAGCAGCTCTTTGAGCAACTCTCACTCCATAACTGCTCATTCAGTCAGCTCTCCACCAAATTTTGTTCTTCACCTTTCCCCGTCTGTGATGCCAGCAAACTCCACTGACAGCCCTCGGTCGACTATTTCGCACTCAATCAATACGCGATTTTAGCACACCATTAAACTATTAACGGGTCAGATCATTCAGTTAGGCACTTTAAGTGCCGTAACCGGCAGAAGTCTCACGTGCGAGAGAGAGAGGGAGAGTGAGTGTGAGAGTGAGAGTGAGCCTGAGAGAATATAAAATTAAAACCCAATTCATGCCTGTGACAGGTGTCGTCCTTGATTGGGTCCACAATCAACAGGCCACAGGCGCAGCTGCATTGTGTTCATTTAATTAAGAAACTGCGACACATTTTCGACCAGGCTCCAAAAAAAAAAAAAAAAGGTGTCACAGCCAAAAGCGGAACACTGAAAACTTTTTAATTAACCACTTTAAATTCAAAGCCTTTCCAGTCAAGTTGGCCAGCAAGACGTTCGAGTGGTAGCATCTAACTGTGAGCGAGTCGTTAAGCAATTTAAAAATATAAATAAACGAAACAAAAATAAAACAGAAACATTTCTGCGCCCCCTCGAAATAAAACACAATAAAATGGCCGCAACGGTGCTTCCGCTTTGCCGACAAAAATGTCAACGGGACAACAGAACAATGAATGCGGCGGCGGAAACGGCGGAAGAAAGCCAAAAATTCATTGCGTCCAGGGGAATTCATAACGGATATATCTGCCTTATAGCGGACACGACTGCATTTAGGGAATCGCTGGCCACCGAATATTTCACCAGCAACTTGATCTGATATTTACGCTTTTATTTATACGAATAAGAATATTTAAAATAATCCAGGAATACCCCTTCACAATGTGCAAGGGGGTGGCTTGTTACTATACACATTTATATTAAAAGATGTCAGTTTATCTGCCTCACTTTACACCGTATCTGATGGTCGTTTACTCCCCTTGAGCACTTATGCTTTTGCCTTAATAATACTTTTATAAATAATCGAAAATCCATTGTTGAACTATATGCTTAATGTGCTTATCATTGGCAGCATATTATTTTTAATTAATTGAATAAAAACTGAAATATCTGGTTTGCAGCATTGCGGTAATTGTGCTGGAGACCCGCAGCACAAATATTTTAATATAAAATAAATAAATAAATAATAAAATAATATACTTTACGCTCAACTGCAGCTTGATGCCATATTTTCACAAATATGTTAATTTTTTTATTTATTTTTTTATGCTCTAGCTGTAGGTAAAGCTGTATAGAGTAGCTTTGTTTAAAAGGAGTTTGAAGTAAAGCAGATTGGGAAATTTTATAATTCAAAATCTCGATTTAAAGTATAAATAAACACTTTGGAACAAAACAAATTTTTATAAATATTTTTAATATTTTCTACATTTCTTTTAAGCTGTGATTAATTTTTCCTTATCAAATATAATGCGAATTAAGTTCTTAAATATAAATAGCACATTTATAAAGTGTGAAGAGCAGTTTAATTTTTATCAATTTTTTTTTTTTATCAGGTATATCGTATTTTTTTAATATTTGTATTTTTATCCGTTCGATTAAAATGCTTATTAACTGAGCTTACGCGTCATGATCCGCAATTAAATTTCTTTTACTCGCAATTATCACGGCATATTTTTGCGAAATATTTGATAGGGCAATGCGCATTAATCAATGGCTCGCTCTCATATGTAAATACATTTTTATTATTATATATTTTTAATTTGTATTTGAGTTTTAATTGTATTGCAATTCGCGATTGTTTTTATTATTAAATGCCGGGCAATGTTTAATTTGCAGCTTTGGCGCATTCGAAGGTGCTTTAAGCAGTCTTATTGTTGTTGTGGCTGTTGTATTTAACTGTTATTTAATTACAGTGTTGCAAAGTTTTATAAAACACGTCGACTAATTGAAATTTGTATGCAGTGGCTCGCACTGGAGCGCCTACGGGGCACAGCGAGTCGAATTAATCAATTATTGACGCCGTATTGTGGGTTTTAGCAGCGTGGGGAGACCTTGGCCATAGAGACTGTTGGCAGTGCGCTACACGGGCAGTCGATGTAGTTGGGCAGCGTAGAGAGAACTCTGCGTGGCGGAAGGAAGGCAAAGGCAGAGCTAATTGATTTGCATGAATTTTGCACTTTGATGCATTGATGGGTTTATAATCACAGGATGCGTGCAGAGCCTTGGGGCTACGGCTGTTCGGGGGCCTATATAAGGCCCGGCTCTGTTGTGGCAGTAGTTGCAGAAGTGTCCAGAGTCAACATGGTGCTGCGTCGCATCTTTCCGAATATGTTCCAAGGGCCAGAGTCTGCGGTCGTCGAGTCGCGCAAGGCTTCGCTCTACCTGCTGCGCTGCATTTTCCTGATGGGCATCAGGACGCCGCCGAAGCGATTCTTCTTCGTCTACATCCTGTGGTCCTGTGCGCTGAACCTGAGCTCGACCTTCTACCAGCCCATTGGCTTTGTGCTCGGCTACATTTCGCACCTGTCCGAGTTTACGCCCAGCCAGTTGCTCACCTCGCTGCAGGTGGCCTTCAATGCCTGGGCCTGCTCGACTAAGGTGATCATAGTCTGGATACTGATCAAGCGGCTCGACCGGGCCAACGAAATGCTCGACGCGCTGGACAAAGTTGTGCGGCTGCCGAGCGAGCGTGAGCGAGTGCAGCGCACTGTCGCCTTGAGCAACAAGATCTTCTTCTGCTACATGAGCCTCTATCTGACGTACGCATCGAGCACGGCTTTCTTCGCCGCCCTGATGGGCGTGCCCTCGTTTCAGAACTACTACCCGGTGCTCGACTGGCGCGCCAGCCGCTTTCAGTTCTGGCTGCAGTCGGGCCTCGAGTACTTCGCCATGCTGGGCGCCTGCTTCCAGGACGTCTGCGTCGACTGCTACCCCGTCAACTATATCCTGCCCCTGCGTGCCCACATGGCCATCTTCGCGGAGCGACTGCGCCAGCTGGGCAGCGATCTCGAGGAGAAGCGGCAGCAGCGTATCGACAAGCTCGTCGAGTGCATCAGGCATCACAAACTCTTGCTAAGGTTGGTCGGGCAAACCTCACAAGTGTGAGCTCCATTACATGTATTTTCCCCCTCCCCCTCCCTCAGCTACTGCGACAATTTGCGTCCCCTGGTGGGCGGCACGATTTTCGTCCAGCTCATGGTCGTGGGCCTGGTCATGGGCTTCACGCTCATCAATATTGCGATATTCGCCAACTTCGGCTCGCGCATCGCCGCCATATCCTTCATGTGCTGCATCGTGCTGGAGACCACGCCCTTCTGCACGCTCTGCAACTACCTTGCTGACGACTGCCAGATGCTGGCGGATGCCCTGTTCGAGTCCAATTGGATCGAGCAGGATGAGCGCTACAAGAAAATCGTCCTTCAATTCCTTCAAACTCTGCAGAAGCCCATTATATTTCTGGCCGGGAATTTCTTCACCATTTCGGTGGCCACAAATCTGGCGGTAAGTCAAAGATCCTTCAATTGGGCTACATTTTACAGTTCTTGTTTTTTAGGCCACAAAGTTCTCATTCTCTGTTTTCACGCTCGTCAAGCAAATGAATATAGCCGAGAAGTTGGCCAAGACAACCAGCAGTCAATACCAGGAGCCAGTGGAAATATAAAAACCAAAACAATTTTCGTTTGGTATTTTATGGTACATAAAAACCAAATGGAATCAATAACTGAAGTGTTTATGAAATTTGAAGTGAACTGTGCTAATGTAATTTGGTATTTACAAACATGAGGCAGACTAACACAACATAAATGTTTTTATTGATCAACACTGGCAATTAGTCACAGGCTTAGCTATACAACACTACACCACTTATGTGAACACTGAGTAGTGTATAACAGCTATTAGAACTACGTATAACAGTTGTAGATATTAGCTGAATTTTTGCAATGATTACTTACCAGGCTTAACCTAGGTAACTATATAACAGTTGCTTTATCTTTATCTTCAACACCATAATTTACCAGCACTAGTTTCGGCATCATAAAGGCCACTGTACCTTATGCTATATATAACACTTTCCTATCATTCATCTGACAGCTGTTCTAATCACATATGACAGTTATGAATTTACTTACCTGCACTGCTTCAAATATCACAACCGTTTTTGATAGAGCTTTGTGTAGTAGCCACTTAAACAGTAACTAGCACCGATTAAGGCTGTGTATAACAGTGAGATATATACTTCTTTTTCTTCAAATATGTTTTATTAACCAAATTGAAATATTTTATTTACCAACACTACTTACTACTAAAAGCACACATAACTTTTATTGTTGATAACCAACACTTTGCCTAGTGCAAATTTGTTCACATTTGAGTACTACAATATATAAACAGCACTACTTAGTAGCACAGTTGATTTAAAATCATGTGACACTATCTACTAATACACTATAACTTTTAAATAGCGCAAAGTCTATAAATCTTAATGCTTTGCATACATATAATAGTTGATAGTTCTGGATATAGCAGTTATATAAGAAACTTGTGTACACCACATGTGTAAATCACTTGTTCAACACTAAATAAATAAAATATATGTCAACTATAAAAGTCGCATAAAACTATTATACGAACTGACACGAAGAAGGTCTCAAATCTAAAAGCTCTACAGTATCTTTTTTAATAAATGTATAACAGTTGCTAGACCTACATATGACAGTTATTATTTGTTAAAATGGCCTAATATTGTCTACATATAACAGTTTTCAACTAGACGCCATACTGTTATACTAATTCGTATTTCCTTTCAAGACCTCCCAGCAATCTTACTCATTCTTGAATTTATCCGCAATATTCATTTGCTTCGTAATGGTTATGACCGAAAAGGCAAACTTCGCGACCTACAAACGGGAATAAAATCAGGCAGAAATAATAAAAATTTGCTTTAATGCGATTGCCATTGTTATACATATTTTTTGTGTGAAACTTACGCTGATGTTGCTGCTCATTGAAATCGGAAAGATGCCGCCGGCTATGAAAACGATGGGCTGCTGCACATTGTGGAGAAAGTACAATAGAGTCGACTGGTAGCGGGAGCCCGAGTCAATCCAATTGCTCTGAAAGAGAGCGTGCGAGAGGGCCTCGCAGTCGTCCATAATCAGGTTGCAGGTGTAGCAGAAGGGGAACGTCTGCAGCAGAGCGGTGATGACGAAGAGGAACGAGGCGATGCCCGTCCACAGATCCGAGAAGAAGAAAACATTGATCAGCGTGAGGCCGAGGACGAGGCCGCACAGCAGGAACTGCGTGAAGATCGTGCCCGAGATGACGGGGCGGATGAGAGCGCAGTAGCTGGAGAGGGACAGAGGGCAAGGATTATGGAGTATAACAGAGTGAGAGCTCTTACTCGAGGATCTGCTTATGGTCGATGACGCACTTGACCAGCGCCTCGTAGTTCTCGTCCTCAGTCATGGCGGGGTCCGTGCGCAGGCTGCTAATGCGCTCCCTCAAAATGTCGAGGTGAGTGCGCAGGATGAGCGTGTAGATCAAGGGGTAGGTGTCCGACAGCTGGTCCTGCAGCACAGCACCGGACATGACGATGTACTCCAGCGTGGAGGCGGTCCACAGCTTCAGTAAGCCGTCGTGCCAGTCGATGAAGGGATTGTAGAGCTGCCAGGGCGGATGGCCGCTAAGCACGGAGCTGAGATAGGTGGAGCCCGCATAGCCGCAGTAGACAATGGTGAAGATGAGGAAGGCGTGGTTGGCGCGTGCGACGACCAGATGGATTTTCTCGCGCTCCTCCAGACTGGTGCAGCGCAGATCCAGCTTGTCCAGGATGTCCTTGGCCTTGACCAGGCGCCACAGCTGCGAGTAGGTGATGGCCACCTTGACCGAGGAGCCGTACGCATTGATGCACACCTGCAGCGAGGTGAGAAACTCGCCCGGCGAGAAGTGCTTTATCTCCGTTATGTAGCTGCCCAGGAAGCCCAGTGGCAGATACGTGGTGCACCACATGAACGTGAGCACCGTCCACGTGAGGTAGACGTAGCGCAGCAGCCCCGACTTGGGCGGCCGCCAGCCAATGAACTTCATGGCTCGATAGAGGTAGATGCAGCCATCCCTGGAGCGCATTTGCTCCGTCAGCGGAGCGGGTTTGGTCAGCTCGAAGAGCATCTCGGCTGCTGTCTGTGCCCCAGCCCGGGGGCTGCACTCGACTTATATACCATCAGACCGCACTCGAATGGCCCGTTGACAATTTGGATAAGTTTTTCCGGCCCCTTTTTCCGCTTTTTCAATTCAGTGGAAAAGTTTCGCAGCCAAAAAGTTTTGTAGCCGTTCGCTTGTTGTTTTTAATTATTCACTTGAGAATTGCTCGCTCTGCGTCGCTATGTTTAATTAACAGAGCGAGCGTTGAATGTAAGTTCATCTAATTTATTTTATACATACATGCGTGTGTGTGTGTGTGTGTGTGTGTGTGTGTGTGTTTGTCTGGCATATTTCCACATGTCGACTTTCCGGCCTGCATTAATGATGGGCCACTAAAAGTAAAGTTAGCTCTCAGCTGCCTCGGCATATTGCTCATACGCAATGTGTGCAGCCCACTTTTTTTTTTTTATTCTGGCCAGTTTTTCGAGTTAAGATAGTTGGGTAGATTTGACTATGGATAGCTGACTGGCTGTCTAGATTTCTATAGGATTTTTGAGAGTTATGAAAATGTTTACTACTGATAAAAAAAATTTAACTGCGTTTCCGAAATTTACATCATTCATTAACATTTCTATTGGAAAATTATTAAATATATTTGTGAATTTCATTTAGAATTTAATCATGTTCAAATGCGTGTCAGAGCAGCATTAGAATTTATGGAATTCCTTTAATGGAATTCCTTCCTTCTTTTGCTTAAAGGAAAGCATTTCTACTTGAATTAAAAATTTTACAGACTAATAAAACTATGCACTAACGGGAAATGCCCTAAAGCAAAGATGCCCTAAGCTTCACTGTATACCCTTATCTAAAATATCTCTAAAATGTGAGAACAAGTTTTTTTTTTTTTTTTTTTTTTTTTTTGAGGATTAAACAATATGTAGAATGTGCAACAGATATTTATTTTTGGAGATAAAATACATTTCTATGTAATATAAATGTTAAGTATAGCAAATCTTGTCATTTATAACTGATATATCGAGCATTTACTGTAAGCACTTTATAAATAGTTTTCTAAAATATTAAGCCATATCTCATCTCATTTCTATTTTATGCTGATTACAGAGTATTCTTTAGTCATGTCAGACTTTCTCTCTCTCTCTCTCTCTCTCTCAGTCTCTCTCTCTCTCTGCTTGCTCCCCAAGGTTTTTATCATTGCCATTTCATCTCATATGCAAGACAAAGAGCCTTAATACAAAAATGTGCGCTAATCGCGGGGCAGGTTCAAGGCGTCGTTGAGCTTTCAAGTTCAAATGCAATTATTAAATTGATAACGAAAGGAACTTTAGCATAATCAGCTTTAAATCTGTGTGCGTGTATGTGTGTTTGTGTGTGTCTCTGCTACTGCTTGACATTTCAGTGTAGCTTTAATGAAAAATATGTTCGGTGAGTGTTATTAATATTCCTCAGAATGTCTGGCGTTTGACACATGTTTTGTTGTCGTGCGCCCGTTGTCGCTTTTGTGTTGTGTGTGTGTGTGCGTGTGTGAGTGCGCCGCAGCCACTGCTCCTTTTTCTGTTCATCTTCATGTCGCTGCCGCTCCCTCACACTGCTCCTGCCTCCCTTGCCCAAGTTGACATTTTTTTTCATTACTTCAACGTTTCAATAGAAGCAACAGCTACAGCCAGCTGCCTGGCTACAAATGAACGCAACTGTGTGTTCTCTGTGTGTGTGTGTGTGTGTGTGTCCAAAGGCAGCGCGTGAAGCAAGGGCAAGGATAATCTTTTGTTTGCCATTGTACGACTCACACTTCAGTTACTTTCAGCTGCAAGGTAAGCAGCAGCAGGAGTAGCAGCAGGAGCAGCAGGAGCAGCAGGAGCAGCAGGAGCAGCAGCAGCATCTGGGCATACTGAAAGCTGTTTTGGGCACACAACATATTTGTATTTTGCCTTAGCTGTGTATTTGCCCATTGCCACGCCCAGGTGTGCTCATATGCCTGGCTGACAGCATAGCTTACGTGCTGACATCTAACACAATTTATGCAGCATAATAAAGCCAGAGCGAGAGAGAGAGAGAGAGAGGGAGGGGGTAGAGAGAGAGAGAGAGAGAGAGAGGGCTGCTGGTCAGCTGTGTCTAGCTAGAAAATTTTATTCTTGCAGCCATTGCTCAATCGTATCAATTAAGCCAGCTCCTGCTACTGCTACTGCTCCTGCTCCTGCTCTGTGTTTGGCTTTGGGGCTTTGGGGTTTTGGATTGCCTTGCTGCAGCAGGCACTTTAAAGCCTCGTCCGCTCAACTAATTGCAATTGGCGCATGTCTGCTTTTTTTTTGTGTGACATTTTTATTTTTCTGGTTTCATCCCGGCCCGAGATGTGTTGTATGTGCATTTAATAACATCAGCGAGTCATTTATTATCGCTTGACGTATTTATTTTAATTAACGGAAATTAATGCCACAGTGCGCAGCTGTGCGAACATGTTTGCAGTTGCTTACACACATTTCGGAGGCATGCCTCACACACACACGCACACTCACAGAGGAAGATAGGTTGCTGCTGCTGCTGCTGCTGCTGGCAAACACCTGACGACGGGCGCACACATGAACGCACAGGACACTGCCACCTAAAAGGATGCTACGCACACACTCACACACAGAGGGCACATGTATCGCTCAATGTATCTTGTTGAGATCCCAACCAACTCTCACACACACAGATACACATACATACACACTGGCACTCAGCTAAGAGTGTCAATCTGTTTTTGATATGCTCCAAATTAATGGAGTTAACAACGAGGCGGTCTGCCAGCTTTTGCCTGCGCGCACACACACACACTCATACATAGACTCACACATACACTCATATATCTATCTAGCTGCTCAACATGTTTATTTTGATGTAATATTTGTTTAATTCATGTGACTGCACAATTTATTAATCATTAGCAAATCACGTTTTTTGTCCTAAATTTAGCTGCTTACATCGATGCTCGCTCATGGGGTGAAAGGGGAGTATATGTGCTGGACTTGTAGCCTGCTGACCGTATATATTAAAGTCCTTAGGGAGTCAGTAGTGGGCGGGCAGAAGGTTGTCTGAGTGAGATGGCAGTATATGTTCGTTCGTATCAATTCGAATATACCATAGCAGGCATTGGGGTTGTAATTATTATATTTCCAAGCTAGTTACTAGACATAGACATAGACAATGCCTGAGAAATTTGTCAAGAGAATATAGCCAGACATGACGCGTCGCTATCAGCAGAGCCCCAGAGTAAGACATTTCATTGCCACGACTAATCTACTCCAGAAACAAACCAAGATTTGAAACTATATCCTTAAGCAATGGTCAACTACAAAATAAAATATCTCGAAGTCGCCTAATATAAAATATACAAAAATGTACAAATTGGTTTTTGGAAATTGGGAGAGTATTATGCAGTCAGTTGAGCTCAACCACAACGTGGTTAACCCCTTAATTTATATAAATATATATGAATATGAAGCCAAAGACCCCAGTTGCTAAAGCTTAATTCTTAAGTTAGTCGGAATTTTATACTAAATCTAATCTTTATTAAATACATGTATGAATACTTATGACTTATATACACATACAAACATATGTACGTATGTATATCTCCATTCATTTATAGATATACAAGTTTTATTAGTGTGGCGAAAGCTTAAATACTTTAATCAGCTGTGCATATTTTGCGGCAAACTAGGGAACTAACGGAATTTGCATACATCGTGGCATAGGTGTAAAGCTGCGGTACAGCTACATGTGCTTAAAGACTACCCTGTAAGCAATGACGAATAACCAGAAGGGTAGACAGGCTTAGCAGACTAACTAGACAATTAATTACTTATGCATTACTTGTAATTTAATATTTTTTATATTTTTTAGTACTTAGTACTTTTTACTTCATTTCAGATAATGAAGGCAAGATTTTAAGTCATCGCCTCTCTATGCGATTCTCACGGATTTTTGTAAGTATTTCAGATCAGTTTCAATTTTAATTTAGATATACGAAACTTATACCTCTCCCTTGCCCCCTTTAAGCGCTGCCCTATAAAAAATTCTAATTCAGCGATTTTCAAATTTTAATCAGAATTCATAGTCCACGCTCAGGTCAAGCCAAGTTTGAATTCATAGCTATGCAAATTCGTGAAGTTTGCTCTGGACAGAGCCCAGTTGCTGCTGCTGCTGCAAATTATTCAAAATGATGAGCGTAATAATTATTGTATATATAATATATATATTTTTTATGTATGCATATGTGTGTGTGTGGGTGTGGGTGTGGGTGTGTGTGTGTGTGTTGCTCAAACTAAAATGTTACATTTATGGCGGAATATGTAAATGGAATATGAAATGCTTAGAATAATTTCGCAGCCAAGCATTAAATTAATTTTTGTATTTCATTTTTTGTTATACTCTGCCAAGCGAAAGTGCAAAACAAAAAGGGAGGCAGAGCGTTGCACTTGGGCGTGACCGACTGCGTAATACACAGATTATGCTCAAGTGAGTCTTAATATTTTAGGAGAATTTTTAACAGAGCAACGCTTGCGTATTCGCTTAACTCTAGAGAAGTTTATTGAGCCTAAGGAGAGTTCAAAGATGAACGAGCATACACAACCAGGTATACCTAATTTCGAGCTATCAAGCGTCCAGAAAGACTTTGAAGGATTGATAGAGGGATTGTATATTAAAGCAAAACCAATATGCTTGCTTTTTTGCACTTGAGCGTGTATAAAGCATAAATATACAAACTGCACTTTGGTGAGCTGCTACTGTTGCTGAGCGCGTTACTCAGCTTTCTTGCTCACCCTCTTTTTCTCTCTCTCTCTCTTTGTCTCTCTGCCTGTGTTTCCTTCTCTTTCAGCGGCTATAAGTGTGTGAATGCCGCAAACAAAATGATGATGAACGAAATTCCCCAAAGCAGCTAGCGACCCTGAAGTACAGACCAGCACGCACACACGCACACCCTCGCACACACACACACACAAACACACTCGCGAAGATACACAGTTAGAGCAGTGCGAGTGTAGAGCAGGGTCATAAATGCCATTATTATTTGTAAACATTGCGACAGCGAGTGGCCCAAATTGTTAACTTGGCTACAAGGTCGCGCTCATAAACATGTGTATAGAAACAAAAAAAAAAAAAAAAAAAAGGCATTCAAATAACAAGCAACAACAAATAAAACAATGAGAGAGCGAGAGCGAGAGTGTGTGTGAGAGAGAGGCACACATTATGCTAGACAGCATGCAAAAGTTTTAATTAATTTTCGTCTGTACGAACCGCAAGTGCACGTATGCGTCCGCTTAACGGCTTTGGCTTTAAGCCTGTCTGCGTGTGTGTGTGCGCCACACACTCACATTGAGTGTATCCCAGAACGGCAGCAACAACAACAAATGTCTTGACCCAAATGTAATCAGATAATTTGTTGTGCAGTGCCAATATTTGCACAGCCGTTGCGTTTATTTGAAGTTCATAACAATTTTGTCAGTTATTAAAGGCGCACACAAGCAAACACAAGCAGGCACACACACACACACACACGCGTACGCACACCTGTAAGCACCTGTGCACAGCTTGGCACAGATTTCGCCTTGGGGCGTTGTGCAAATATCGCATGCCTAGGCCTAGGCCGAGGCCTACGCCTAAATGTTGCTCAAACAGTCAGTCAGTCAGTCAATCAATCAATCAAGCAGTCAGTCAGTCTGTCAGTGTGTCTTTCGGCAAGTGAAAGTAGCACAAAAGAGCAACAGCCCAAAATTGATTTAATAGAACCAAATTATGCGGGCACAGAGAAACGGAAAAACAATGCAGTCCATGTTTATAGAACCAATATACATGTACAACATATATTGGCCTACATGTGATATATCATTTCAAATGCATTGTTTTCTACCTGCCAATATAATTTGAGTGCAGCAAATAGCAGAAAGAGATAGAGATACAGATAGAGAGAGAGAGAGAGCTGTACGCAAGGCAAAGCTGTTGCCATAAATTACACAGGCCAACAAAATTGTGTAGAGTTATTGTAATCGAGCAACGGAATCTGAACTTTAGCATAGACATTTAATGTGCTTGCATGCAGCACGTTGACTGTAGCGCCTTTCTATGCAATTCTCATGGCCAGCTGTAATTTTATAATGGATTCAATTTAGTATAGTTTTGTGAATAGATTTTAAAGCAATGTTTATCATAAATTTCATCTTTAGCTGTGCTTCTTAGCCATGTTGAGTTCCTCTCTATGCGATTTTCATGTTTCAATATCTTAATTAAATAATTCCTTATGAGCTTAGCATATCTCTTTCCATTTGTTTGTCTACGCTTAAAGTCATAAACTCTCTTTCCCTGCTGAAGTACTGTTTATTCTATCTCCTTCTATTTGTGTTTATATCTCCGCTCTTAGATAATTCAACTGCCCTTCTATGCAGCTCTCATGTTCTGCTGCTCAGACTTTGGAGTTTGTCTGAAAGTCCAGCGCCTCACTTTCACTAACCCTTTAGGAAATTTCTGTTGAATTTAATTTTGCTTTCTTGCTGTCTGTTTACCTTCTGCTCTCTCACGAAGATTTTTAACTCAATTTAGAACAGCTTGCGTCAAATTAAAGCCTATTTCTTGTTGGCCAGTGTAATTGCTTAATCGCATTAAATGTTTGTTTTTGCACATTAGACTAAATATTATAGATGAACTGGCCGAATTCCACATATAATGACTTTGATTTCTAAAATCCATTATAATCAGATCAAAGTAATTTTGCGTTACGATTGCCTGCGTGTGTGTGTGTGTGTGGGTGTGTGTTTGTCTGTATGTCAGCTAACCATAGCTTCTATTCACAGCTAAGCTGAATTGATATTTTTGTGTTGATTCGAGTCGAAATTCAGCTGCAGTTAACTTTTTGCATGCAGCTTAAAAATTATTTTTAAGTTTTCAATTAAGTTCTGAGCTGAGCTCGTTTTGTTTGTCTGCCAGCCAATCCCTAAATCCTTTAAAGTCCAATGTCAACTAACTTGCCAACACAAACTCAAGTGCGAAGTTTTCAGTTAAATCTCTTTTGGTCTGCAGTCGAAATGTTGCATTGCAATAACTAAGACGGAAAAGAAGAAGAAGAAATTCGAACAATTTTGAAGTGAACGAAAAACTGCGCTCGAGCTTAAGCAGCTGAACTGAATTTGTTAGTTAGACAAATGTTTTAATTAGCTGAAATTATTTGCAGTTGTCCGCTGGAAATCAATTATTTTGCGAGCTGCTCTTCAATTGTTAACTGCGGGAACTGCGGCAACTACAGCAGCTAGGATACATTATTCCTGAGCTCACGCACACACACACAGAGACATTTGTGTGCACACAGTTGTGTTCATGAAAATAGTAGAACTGCATTATAGAAAAGAATTACGTTTTCCACTGAAAACATAAGAATGCCAACATTTCGCTTCGAATAGAATGTCAAAGAAAAATAAAAATAAAATCGTTGCTTGTTTCTCTTTACACATTTCGGGAATCAAAAATTGTAAAAATAAAAAACACTTTAGAAACGAGCAGCTTTCTCAAAGCAATTATAATTTTAGTTGAGTAATTTATTATAATACTTAAAAATATGAATTTCATACGCACTATATATTCAAGGAAATTCCGAAAATTAAATGTTATACATAAGATCATTGTTTGGATGCATTTCAAAACTTTATTTTAACTTCTGTAAACTTATGAATATATTTATACATATATACGTATATAGCTATTTATAAATATATACATATTTATACACAATCAGAAACTCTTCTGATCCATTCCGCTCACCATTTTCCGCCCATTTTCCGCACAAATTTTCTGCAGAAATGTTTCGGTCATTTACAGATCAAGCTGAAGTTTCCACGAATCAATTTCCGCTACCGAAATGCCACTACCAATATTTCCTTTCACAAGCTTATCTATATATTTCCTTTAACAAATATATCTATAGAGCTTTCAGTTTGGCTTTTCATCTGCAAAATAATACTGCATTTCCCTGGAAATGTTCATTATTGTTATTTTAAGCGAAATATTCTAGGGAACTCAAACAATGTCACAATTCACCTGAAGCTCTTAGGTTTAAAATTGTTAGCTAATATATGCATATTTCGTCTATAGATTTGCCATGTTTCATTAATTCTTGTTTAACGTATTCAGTTCAATAAAAGTAAGCAAAGAAAATATGTTTTACATTTATCATATATGTCTATATATATACAGGTCAGAGGTCTAGGCTTAACGGCTCACAGTTTGTTTCCTGTCCACTAACACGTTCGTACACAATTGCTTTCAGCCTGTGTTTTTTCTTATTCCTTTTTTTTTAGCAGCTTGCTTGACTGCAAAAAGTAGGCAACATATTTCAATTGAAAAGAAAAACTACATTTCAGCTACAACAAAACATTACACTCGGCAGCTAGTGGATAGGGAGTGGGGGGGGTGGTGGTGTATTGGTAGTGGGCGTGGGCCGAGTAACATTGAGGCATTGGGGGGCTGTTCATTCCTTTTCACAGTCAGACACGAAATCATTTCGAACGTGGCTGACGACAAAAGTTAAACGAGGTCAAAGTGTATGAATGCGATTCGAGCGTATTGACCGTTGACTGAATGGCTGGCAAACATGCGAGCCAAACACACAAAAAAAAAACAAGAATGCAGACTGCCAAAAGTATCTGTAGCTGTAGCTGTCTCTCTCTCTCTCTGTGTGTGTGTGTGTGTGTGTATCTGTGCATTTGCTTGTGTTTGATTTGGGCGCTGCTTGCATTATTTATTGAGCAGCCGCGCTGATTAAATTTCAATAAAATTCCAAAATGCTGACAAAATGCTTGCCCCATTATCATTTCCTCTGGCTGCCACGCCCACTGCTTAAGCAGTGTCGCCCACAATTGCAATTACGTGCGCTTCTGTCTTCCTCTTGCATCATCTTTGCTACGTCGGTGTGCGTGTGTGCGTGCGTGTGTGTGTGCGTGTGTATGTGTTTTTTTAATACATTTCTGCGTGCGCGTCTTTTGCAATCGCCGCAGCTTCCTTTTTGCATTGACTACTTCGTTGCGGTCTCCAGCCGCCAAAGCGCTCATGCAAAAGCAATTTCCTGAAGTTTTTACCCCACACGCACACGCGGGCAATACGCGACCTCAACGCATTGGCCAAGTGTCTCTGTGTGTGTGTGTGTGTCTGCACGACACTCGACAGCATTCGAAAACCAATACGACTGCGATTATGCGGCTCTACATATACATGTGTGTGTGTGTGTGCTGCTATGCATGTGTGTCTGTATGTCTTGTCTCTCTGTCTGTGTGTGTGTGTGTGTGTGCGCGCACACTCAAACTTACAAATTGCGCGCTGTAAGTAAGAAATCATTGAGGTTGGTCGCCACACTAATGGAAAACGACAAGCGGCATGTGGGCAAACGTTTTTCCCGTCGCCCGTCGCTCCTGGCCGTGCCATGCCCACTTTTGCCTGTGGTTGCAATCTCCTTAGTTTTGCGTAGACCCTTTGCCCCCTTGATGCTTGCGTGCCACGCACGTAGCCGGATGTTGCCCGAACGATAGTTGTCGTTCTCGTTGTCAGCTCTGCGGTTTCTGTGGGTGGCTGAGTGAGGGGTGGGGGTGGGGGTGGAGTAGCTAGGTTACTGTTGCAAGTTTACTTCACGTTTGGGCTTGGTCACCGCAAAAGTTTAGCTGCTAGTTGCGGCAGAGAGTACGTCCAGTCGTCGGCCCGTCCTGGCCGTCGTCCACTGCGGCTGCTGCGTGCCGCTGCTCCTGGCCGCATTACAGGATCAATTTCTTTGCCCAGCACTGATTTGCCGCTGCCCAGGCGGCCGCAACCGCAACGAGTGCTGTCATTAATGTGTGCGCCATTTCTTCGACTTGGCCAACAGCTGCGGGCCGAGTCTCTGGCTGCTTGGCTTAATTAAATGTGTAACGCAATAAGCACGTGACATTATCAAAGGCGAACGCTATTTAGAATTCTGACACACTTCACGAACAGCAGCTCGACTTAAGAGCAGCCGCGCCGTTTCTCTTAAATCTGCGCACTGGAAGCGCGTCAGCTGTCAAATGAAAACGAAAACTGACCTGCGATGCACTGGAAGGAGAAACAAACTGAGAGAGAGACAGAGAGAGACTCGAACTCTCACTCTCACTCTCTCTCTCTCCCGCTCTCGCTTGCTGCGCCTGCGCTGGCTTTCCAGCTGTCAGACAGACACGAAGACGGCGACTTGACTTGGCACACGGAAAGGCAACGGCCAGGCAACGTCGTCGTTGGCCACATCGTCGTCGAGTGCTCGTCCTGCCTCGTTGTCCTGCTCGTTGGCCGTGGCCAGAGTGTCCTTTTCAGTTCACTTCGCATACTCGTCGTAAGCTGTTCACGTTGCGGCTGCCACGCACGGCTCGCCCAAGCACAACAAAAAGAAAGCAAGTGGAGGCAAAACAACGCAAACGCAAACGACAACAACAACAAACGCAAAAGCAACAGCGACAATTGTTAACAACAACAGAAAAATACAAAAATAAAAAAATAATAAAATAATAATAAACGCGAATTTCCGCCGTTGGTCGGCAAGAATTATTTTTGGCCAGGCAAACAAAAAAAAAAAGAAAAGAAAAGAAAAATTGGTTAGCGAGCCGCCAAAAAGTTGTTAAGCAAAGGCGGCGCGTGTGCGTGTGTGTGTGTGCATATCCTTGTTGATCCTTGCAAACGCATAACTGTGAAAGGCAGCAACAAGCCGTAAAGTACGTCTCGGTGCGTGTGTGTATGTGTGTGCCTCTCGCTCGCGCACTGCGTGTGTGTGTGTGTGCACAACTAAAAAGTTGCCAGCAACAACAGCGACAAAAATAATAAAATATATGTATAAAAGTGAAAGCGGAAACGGAAACGGAAGCAGCTAGGCAGCTGGTAGAGGAAACAGAAGCGAGTGGCAAAGCGGCAAAACGGCAAAAAGGCAAAAGGCATAAAGCAAAAAAAAAAAAATAAAAGAAGGCAACTGCCATGCCATGTGCTGCAGCTGCATTCATGTTTTGTTAGCACTTTGACCCAAATCGTAGAAAGTGTGTAAGTGTAAGCGTATGTGTGTGTGTGTGTAATACATGAGCGATAAGCGGCAAGGTGTCAATGCCGTGTGCGACAACAGCAGCAGCTAAAAAGTCGAGCAAGCACAACAACAACAACAACAACAACAACAACAGTGCAGGACGTAACACGCACAGGATAACTGAGAAAGCTAAGCATGCTAAGCAGATAAACTGATAGCTCTGTGCTCGACTTCTAGGACTTGAGTGCATTTCAGCGGCATCTGGAGCAGCAGCTGGAGTAACGGCAGTTGACAGACAACAACAGACTACAGTTAGCAGCTTCACACATGTGAGTTTTCTTTTCTCTCTCGTTTCTTTTTTGACACCTGTAAAATGCACGACTTTTACTTTGACTTTGGCCCAGAGCCTCGCCGCGGATATCCAAAGTTTTTGGCACTCGCTAGTTTATGGCCCACAACTTCACACACACACACACACACACACCCACACACACACCCACATCCACATATCCAGCTCCTTTCAGCACTTTTGGCAAATTCCCCATTTTCCGTTTCACGTTTTACGGCATTTGCATTTACGGCCCGCACATAAATACGCGCTCTTTATGCGACAGCAGCGGCGTCGGCGACAAGTTAGCGTCTCGTTTGTTAGACTTTCGCTTTTATGCACAAATAAAAATTATATTTGCTGTCGAATTTGTATCAGAGCCGCGCTCAGACTTCGCCCTCAGCGAATCTCTTGCCTCACTTAATTGTTTTGCCTATTTGCTTTCATTATCGAAACTAGACTTGGGTTGAGGCTCGAAAGCTTTAGATACTTTAGCTGAAAAAGTAATATTAGAGCTGAGCTCTGATTATATTGAAATGAATGTTTGCTCAAGGTTTCTGTTTTCATGTTCCTTAAATAACAAGTACCAAATACCATATATTGCTTAGATTTTCGCTTACACTTTATTTATTTAGGCTCTTTTAATCTAGTACAAATACAGGTTTAGCTGGTGAGGGATTGTCGAACATCTTTTTCATCTTCCATGTGGTTTATTTATTTACAATATTTTGTATTCTTAGACATATTTTAAATTTATTCTGGCCACAAACATGACGAAATGAAGTATTTTTTATTTATTAGATTTTATTTTATTAAAAAGTATTAAAAAAAGAAACTAAGATAATTTTATTTCTTTTTTCTTTTATTTATATTAGAATTCTTTTATTGCAGCTTCTTGTCTTAGACTATACAGCGCAGACATCATTAAACCTTAACTTAAATTATGGGCTAGAAGCCAGTATTTACACTATTTACAATATTTATACAATACAATTTTTAACAACATTTATGGGGATCTGTGGTCTAAGGGATGAAGCCTTTTAAGCCTTCGCCTACTGTTAAATTTGTTTAAAATTATTACCATTATTATTATTATTTTTAGCTCTTCAATTTCTATACAATTTATATACATCTAATAGATGTATATAAAAAACATACAGCTTCAATAATTTAATTTATATAAATAATTATGATTAATCTGTAGCTCCTTAACATATTTCCCTTTTGATTATTTGTTTTATTTAATTTTCATAGCAGCTCAACTTGAATTAGTAACTTAGTTTCATTTGTTTTATATTTATATATATGTTTTAATTCATATATAACACCCACTCTGCCCGCATAATTGTTTACACATAATCAAAAAATTTTATGAATCTGTATATTTTCAAATTATCTGTATCAGAAAAGTTTGTAATCTTAACTTCAGAAACTCAAACGAAACTAGAAGAAGCAGAAATTCTTCCACATCTGAAGTCCTTTAAAGTTAAGATTCATTAAATAAGCTGATCGTACTATCTCTGAATAACCAGTTTCAATATATTTCAAAAAGCTTCCTATGTAAGCGAGTCGTTTGCCCGTTCACTTTTCATCTCTCCCTCTCTCTGTCTCTCTCTTTCTCTTTTTCCTGCCTTTCCATATCTCGCTGTCTTTTCTAGGATATATCTCGCTCTACCCAATATCAGCATCTTGACTTTTGAGGCCAACGTGTCTTGATAGGTCAATGTGATAGGCCCATACAGATTTCAGTCTCGAGTTCCGTAGTCAGATTTGTGTTGACTGAATTCTGTTTACCTGTTTTATTAAGGTAATACAATCAGCAGCCAGTAGCTACCTTACTTTCGGCCTTCACATAGCTATTTGTCAAATTTCCAATGCAAATTTACTCAGAAATGTTTACTGTTGGCTGTCAGCACAACGATCCGAGTTTCGACATGGTCTGTGGATGATGAAGCCTCTGGCTATTGGCCTCTTTCATCTACTCAGCTGCCAAGCTGTCCATTCGCTTTGCTAAGGAATGTATTCGAAATTATACATATTCTGAATAGGCAAGACTATAAAAGCAATTTGATATGATTTGTCTATCAATTTGAGGCCAGCCGAATTGCTGTCCAAGCTGGAATTAACAGAGAGAGAGAGACTGAGTGAGGGAGAGAGTGGGAGAGTCGAGGGAAACGGAAGTTGATTTCGACTTTGACTTCAAGCCACGTTGGCTGTCGAGTTGATTGGCCTCGCTGCTCGCCATTTGTGTTTCGCTTGAAATTCTGCTTAATCATAATCCTTCGTTGCCATGTCATTGAAATTAAAATTTCGCATTCCACTCGAGTGGCGAAATATGCCTGGCATTTGATATGCTCCTGGGCGCTTTAAGTTATTATCATAATATTCAAATTAATGCACAATTTGGGGCTCGTGAGTGGCAATAAATTGAGTATTTTAAATGAATTTCCGTTCCAATTATGCCAATCGAATGCTGAAATTTTCGAATGCTGAAATGAAGTAAGTTTGCCTTAAGTTAATCAAAAATCGACAACGTTTGCTATCGTCGTCTGATTATTTTTTGGTTGAGACGTGCCATAAACAAGGCCAATGCGATTATGCCAACTTAACGCAATAACAGCCGCACGACTAAGCGCTATTAGGGCGTGCGGGACGGTGGGTGTGGCAGCGGCGGCGGTTTCCTAATGAAATGACAAAAAGTAAAACACGGCAAAATTGCTGAGGAAAAGCCAAATATTTGCCTAGAGCCTTGGGGAGCGAGACGCGAGCTAATGGCAAAAAGTCGCTGCCGACTACGTGAGACACTCTATCTATCTGTCTGTGTGAGCGTGTGCATGTGTGTGTGTTTGTCATGTGTGCATGAGCAGAATATGTCTAGGTGACGCTGCGGCTAGAAAGCAATTAAATATATTTCCGCTTCGATGTCAAAATTAATGTGAATTTGATATTTGAAAGCGCGCAGCACGCACATGCCGCAAGGAGTGAGCGAAACAGATGAGAGGAGGCACAGAGAGACAGAGAGCGGGTAAGTGGGCGTGGCTAGCTGACAAGATGCCTGACTGTGTGTCAGCGGGCACGACTGTCGAGGCATTTAACGAGGCCAGCCAACAGGCTTTCATTGAAAGCGCTCCAAAGACGTCAACGGCGGCTGAGAGCCCAAAAGCGTTGCACGCCTGCCTGGAGGATACACGTTAACATGCTAAATACGGCAACGCCTGTGGGGTTGACTCCAGTTGTTGTTGTTGTTGTTGTTGTTGTCGTATGTCTGGACGTTGACACAAATTTTAGCTGACAGCGGGCCGCTTCCCAAAGGGCGCACATGTAATTGCTAATGAGTGTACGGCAGCCGATGGGGCGTATGCGCAATATGCCCTTTGGATATGGATATACACACGCACACACACACGCACACACAATATATGTTAAGCATACGCCACGTTGCGCACAAAGTTAAAATGTCAACGTTTTGACTGTTGGCTAAACATCTGCTGGGCAAGGAAATATATGCACATAAGTAGAACATATATATATTATGAGATATCTATATATATTTTAATAGGCAAGCACTATAAAACAGCAAGCAGCAGCACTTTTTTTTTTGCCAGTCCAAGATTGAGATTGTCTTGGCTGTGTGTGTGTGTGTGTGTGCTGTCTAGTTATTTATGCAAAATATCTACAAGCATAATAACAATGGCAAATAAAAAGCAAACAATATTTAAATAAAGGATTATGAAGACAGGACAGACAGGACTTGGCCTGCAGCACGACGAAAAAAACAACATGGCAAATGGGAGACTTGACTGCGTGTCTGTGTGTGTGTGTGTGTTTGTGTGTAGTTGGCTCACTGCCTGACAGGACACTCGTATATAGATATAAATTTATATACACATTTAGTATCACAGTAGCTGTAGCTCTCCGCTGCGTAGACTGGCTGGCAGCCTGCTGCGCTCTGTCTGTCTATGTCGCCGCATATTTTATTGTCTCTCTCTCGCTCTCTTATCCCTCTCTCTCTCCATTGCCTCATTTTCTTTATTTTCTTTGTATTTTTTTTTAAATTCATTTTTATTCATTAGAGATTCCGGATGATGTCATGACGTTAACCAAGAAACGCGTCTCAATTCGTCTCCGTTTGCACGTACAGCCAATTTTTATGCTAAGCATACGATGCAGATTCTCTCTCTCCCTCTCCTTCTCTCTCTCTCTCTCTCACACTCTCTCTCTCATTGTCTCTGTGTAAACATATGAATTTGAAGCACCCATTCATATCATTCCGTATTCCATCTCATATAAGCATTGTCAGCTGCTGCTTCCATCTCTTTTTGTTGTGACTGTGAACTTTTAATTTCCATTTATTTTTTGGCCGACTTTTTGGCTCAGCTGCCCGAGGCTTATCTGCCTCGCCACGCCCTGCCTAGCGCCGCCTCCTTCTATTGTTGCACATTGTGCACACTGCAGTCGAGCCTTGGTCCTTGGCGCTGCTTCTACTGCTGCTGCTTCTACTGCTGCTGCTGCTGCTGCTGTCCGCATTGTACAGTCTCCTTTGTAGATATATATCGCCGGCCCTTTAATGCCTTTCCATTTGATTGGTTGCCTGCTCGCTCCTGATACCCTGTGCAGGCCTCAGAGCATGCTAATATTGCCTTGCCTTGCCTTGCCTTGCCTTGCCACGTCTTAAGCGCAGTAGATTCCCAGCTTATGGCCAGCATATATAGAGAGAGTATCATATCATTGACTATAGATATTTATGCGTATGAACTGAGAGTTGGTCAGAGCGCTGCTTAGAGCTTGGAGATAAAGCATATGTGGAGGCAGCTCCTATTCTGGGCATAGATTGTATAGCTGTTAAAGAGATGAGCTATTTGTATTACTATTATTATTAATATTACTATTAGTAGAGCGAGAGTCGCTCAGGGGCTTCACTCGATTGCAGTCACTGCCCCAATCAAATCTCAATGCTTAAATGAATAATTAATATTGATATGCAGGCTAAATGGAGCCTGG